TATAAGGGGAGACAAAAAATATTGAGCATGAGTGGTATAAGAGATATTTATTGAAAACCGTGAAACACATGGATGTGCAAGTCCTTCATAACTTGCGAATAATGAAATCATTAGTGTTGCCTCATCTCTTTTTCACTGATGAAATAATTCTGTGTCCCACGATTCCCTGTGGAGTATCCTCTATTTATTCTAATGACATTGGCAATTCTAATTCTTATGGTCACCATTAATTTGGGCGACAGAATGTATTGAGGGGAAAACTGCTAAACAGATGATACTTATCTTTTTGCATAATGTTCAATTGTGCTATCTTAACTAATGCATGAGCATTCAATGAAAATTATTGAATGTAAATTACTCAAGTATATCTCTCTCTCTTTCTCAACAATTAAAATTCAACATAGAAACTATCAACATAAAAATTTCCAAAGCACCAATTTGACAACAATTTGATTACTGTAACTGACCATAAAGAAAAGCACCTGCATTATTATTTACCATTTACCTTTATATCTGTATGTTTCTTTGAAGAACAAATAAAACTGTCATTGTGGATTTTTTCCTTCGCGCACACACATTGCACACATCACTTTAGAAGTCTGATTGATGGAATTCTTAAAGTAATTTTAAGCTATTACATTCATAAATGGCTGGTGAGTTTCAATTATCTTTACAAAATGCACCATATCTCTAAATTCCGGTACAGCATTTCACAAAAGAATGAAGATAATGCCTGGCTACACTTTAACTTTTCTGCCACCTAGTGCATATAATAGTGCATCAAGCATTTTAAATTTTAAAAAATAAATTCATGCTTTATTAACAATAGCTTTTTAAGTTTTATTATTGCACCAATGACACATCTAATAATTAAGAATTTGAGCCAGTGTTACAATAAACTTGTTTTTTGTTTAACTAGCTTTTCACTGTTAGCTTGAATGAGACAATCTGTCTTTTTCTGAAAATAATCAAAATTTGTTTATGCATTTTATATAGCATCTATCATATCAAATCTCCAGAGAATGCCTATGTATTTATAGGGAAAGCATTACATACTCGTGCCAAGAAATAACCCACAACTTTAATGCTAAATGTACATAGAGCACTGTTAGCCTAAAAACAGGGAGAAACTTCTCTTTTCAAATAATGTCATGACAGCAAGATCTTGGGTTTAATATCTCATTCAAAGTTGGCACATGTGTCTACCATAAGATCAAAGCCATGATGTAGGTCTTGAACCCTCAACATTCTGACCCAGAGGCAAGTGTGCACTCAAGTGAGTTTATTTGATTTGATAGGCTTAAGCAAAAAGTAGCATTGAAAACAAATTAAATTGAATTATAGTCTTCCAACTTGACTTAACTTATGGTTTTCAAGACATAATATTGGACTCTAAAAATGGTTCTTAACCCAGATCTGCACAAGAGTCTAGAATTAAATACAAAATGTTCCAATAATTACAACTTTCAGTTAGCCACTCCTGTTTTGTGGAACTTCGCATTGTGAAATATGGTTCCAGGGAGCAAAATAGTAGCAAGCATTGTCTGTGGTTTGCTCATTGCCCCTTTTCCAGATTTTGACGACTTAGAAAGTTACATTTGGTAAAGCCTGAACTTTTCCACCTGCTATTTACAAACCTGAAGTCACAATTAGTAGATAAATCCCATTTGCAACAATTGCATTTCAGACCCTTTCATGTATAAGTGACTAAATAGGACTACTGTAGTTGTCAAAAACATAATGTAATATAAATAAAAATGTTTGCAGTTTGTAAACATTGAGGAATTTGTTTTTATTTTTCCAAAGATTAACTACTGGAAAAATTAAACTAATGTTTTCGTGTCATGAATAGCACCATAAAATATATTTATTTCTTCAGGCTTCCAAAAACTATTCAGAATCCTTCCTTTGTGGAGTCCTGAGCTCAGTGGTTAGAGCACTCGCTTTGCAAGCGAGAGACCCGAGTTCAATTCCCGGCAGGGCCAAACCTTGGGCAAGTTTCCTTACTCCACACGCCTAATAATAATCCCTCCAAAAAAACAAAACAATAATAAATTGGTCATTTTCAATCCATGACTGTTTGTGGGACATTGCTGTGCTGCCACGTTCGCCCACAAATATAGTCAATTCACTTTACAGTATATTCTGTGAAGCGCTTTGGGAGCGTCTAGAAGACGTGAAAAGTGCTATATCAAATGCAAGAATTATTATTATTATAAAACTCTTTTTGTAAAATTCAAAAAATTCTTACCTCATGTTGTGGCAAATATGTATTTCAAGTAAGAATCATATTTCATCATCCACCTTATTTCTTCTGAATGTTGTGTTTACTAATATTGTAGCACATAACCCGTTAAAAGCATAAGTTTTAAAAGTTGATTTTCCAGATATCTAGTTATACATCTAATTTGGTGTTTTGAAGGTTTAAAAAAGGTATTTTTATCACAACTAAACAGCTGTTCGCCTGAGATTGCCTCCAGTAAAATGTGCAAATACCATTAGCTTACTGTGATTATTCTAAAGTGTACCTGTAGTCACTGCTGTCTCAGCAAAACATTCTTCCACTTAGTATTACCCAATACAAGATCAACAATTTCACAGAGGTTGCAAGGTTGTGAAATACGTGTTTTCTCCTCAAACAAATAAATTCACAGTAATGAAATTATAGCTTGGGTTTAAGAGATTGTCACATAGAGATGGTACAACAGAAGCAGTAGAACCCAATGAAAACAAACCAGTAGAACAAAATTGAAAACCTGGAGGGTGAAAATAACTGTAGAGAAAATTATACAACTGCTTCTTGAGAGAGTTAGAACCTTTTAACTATCCATCTATTATTTATAATTATTGAGGAAAAATTGTACAGTTCATTTTCAACTGAATGCTTGCACAGTGACTCACTTAATTTACGTTCGTAATTTTTATAACATCAAAAATCATGATTATTATTGAGGCATTTGTCATCAGTTTGGTTCAAATGGATTTCTAACACAAATCGCAAGTGAAATGTCTAAGAATGCGATTCAATCCAGTCAATATCCAATTACATTCAATGTCAGCAATAAGCACCATCTGACTAAAACGATAGCATCACGTGTGCTACAAATTCATTTTTTTTGACTAGCACAATGTTGTTAAGTAGATTTATAAAACTGCAAAGAACGTTTCAACTTTTTGTTTTGTTTGTACTTTTAATCAGGATGCAACACTGATACTGTATTTTATGGGGAGGGAGGGAACTAATGCAGAGACCAGTGAATACCATCAAGGAAGGAGCGGTAGCCAACTACAAACTCAAGCAGTTTATTCAGAGTTGGAATTTTTCTGAAAGGTTAACCTTTTGGCATACACTGTATCATAATGCCCAACACAGTGGTAAATTTGCCTGCAAGAATAATAATCCACCATAATCCTGTTGAATAGTAATATCAGCACTGTAATGTTCAAAGGATATATCGGATTAGATATGAAATGTTCGAAGCAATATGGAAAAGGCAGTAGCAAAATATCGAGCTTTAAAAGAAAAACAATCCTTCGAGGAATGCGAAATGCATTTAATGTCACTGCAAAAGCAGTTGAGGGATTTTGCAAAGAGAAACCCAGATTTATATTACAGTTCTTGGAGCACAGAGGGAAATAAATATTGAAAAGATATTGACATTGTAAAACAAACTTTACCAAAAAATTAAATTTGATGTCAACAATTGGGACATTTCCAGACTTTCTATTAGCACCTTATAAATACCGGCCAAGTCAAAACTTGAAAAAACTTGCAGCTTGCATGCCAAGCACTTGCAGATATTCCAGTTGAGGAATGCCCAGAGGAAGATTCAGCCTTGTGCCAAATTGGGATTACAGTGATGATGACATTTTAAATGCAGGGATATGAGAACATGTATCCATTCAGCCTTGCCTTTGTGGCTCCCTTCTCCACATTAGCATTTATCTTTAAGGCTTCACAAACTCTGCGCTCACACCAGCAATATTCCTATTTTAATTAACACTCAGATTCAGTTGCTCCATTTATTCCCAGGTGAACTGAACAAAAGCAAACAAGAATCAAAATGTAGTTTGTGCAGGAAAGAATCTGTACAAATGTTCAAAACAAAACAAACAGAAGTTACTACTCTGAGATAAGATGACTTGATATTTCTCCAGTTCATTGTTGTGTATTAACCTTTGCTGCCTCATTTAAATCAATTGTAATCTGCTTCCAATCACTGGAACTGCGGTGTGCATTACCACTACAGCAACTTAATGAATTGTAATAATACTATACATTTGATATAGCCCCTTATCACTCGATCGAGATGTCTCCAAGCACTTCACAGGGCGATCAAAGGGAATCTAAACCTAACGAAACCAGTTGCAAGTTTAAACTATTTTAACATTTTATTCTCATTTCAGTTAATTCAGATGAGACTCACTAGAACACTGAATCAGGAATTTCAAACAATAGTCAGTAATACGTAATCAGTGACTGCAAGAACAAATGCTATCTGCCTCAGTGAAAATTATTTTTTGAAGCAAGCTGTTCCATGACCAGACTTTCTAAAAGCTCTGGTATTCTTCCCTGTAACAATTTGCATATGTAGTTTTACACACTCAGCACTTTGGGACATCCTCCCGACGTGAAAGGCGCTCTATAAATGTAATTTTGTTGTTCTTGTACACACTGCAAACCGGTTAACTTCCTGTAACAGCCTAACCTTCGATGGGCGTAACAGGGTAATTGTATCCAAAACTAACTATAGAAAGGAACTAAATGTTCCTTAAACCAACCTTGTTGAAATTATTGTTTACTCTATCCACCAAACCAAGAACTAAATACACAAGAAGCTTTAGATACCTCAAGTAACTTATACTGTTTATTTTTTGATAGATACCACCCATTGAGTCCCAATGAATACCTCTTTGAGGCTTTGCTCTCTGTCCCTGCATATAAAAATATGGAGTAATGGGATTGAACATCATGCACCTACTAAAAATATGTGATCAAGTATTGATTGCAATAATTATTTTATTTAGCATGTTCCACATTCCATTGAATAACATGTACAAACAAATATAGTGGTAAATTCCTCCTCTCCAGTAAAAATGTGAAACAAGATGGGATTGGATATCTGAAATGACAAACACTATTTTCAGCAATTGGAATGTGAGATTACATTTGCTAGAATTGATTAAACAAAGTAATTGCAATAATATCTTTAGAAAAGAACAAAGTTTATATTAAAAAAAATGCAGTATACTAAATTGGTTCCTTTTCAGGTTGGCGAAGCTTTGGCTGTATTTGGACAATCTTTCCAACAAAGAAACATATGCAACATGTTGACACTCCTCATTCAACAAAAGCTGGCAAATACAGTATATGCACAGCAAATTTACCATATTCCACCATTTTCTACATGCCAATATAATTACAGAAACATTTGTAACAGAAAAATGCAGAAAAAATAACGCACAAGTAGAATCACCTTGACAAACTTAATCTCTTAAATTTACACATGGAATGTTTTCTTTGAAAATAAACCATCCTTTGACTAAAGAAAGCAGTTTTGTAAAGTGAAGTATTTACTTATGTGTTAACTCTTTCAATGCTAACACTTTTGCACCACAATAATGTAACTATTTTTAAAAAAGGAGTATTAGAATTCTAGTGTTACAATGACACTGATAAAAGATGACAGGCTTTAACTACTTGCACATCGAGTTGAGTTAGAGTTGTCCTTTTCGCCGACAAAATACATAATCAATACATTTTACAATATATCCTGTGAAGCACTCTTGAGATGCCTCCCGATGTCAAAGGAGTTATATGAAATGTGAAGACTATTATCATTATTATTTTCCCCACCGAAAACTAAACTGTTAAATGGTTTCTTATTGTGTTACACAATTACTGTGGCAAGATTTGCCAGTTTTCAAGTCAAGCTTCTAAACCAAGAATATTATTGTGATCTGCAATCCATCAGGGGAAAGAAATATTGGAAATCATTTTGACCTTCTGCAAAAGCATTATGTCAGCTAATGAGTAGTTGCTATGGATGAAGTTCATGTCACACAATGCTCTGGCATCAACTCTAAAGGAAACAATGCATAGCTTGGGGAAGGAAAGAGATAAGGAATAAACTGAGGCAAATCCTAGATGACACCAAATTAAAACTATTCTGCAAGTGTCAAAATAAGTGTTCTGATTCAAAAAGTTCACAGTGTATTACAATCCTTGCATCTAATATATAATCGATATGTTTTAAAGGGCTTCACAGGTAATTGCTGTGAAGTGAAATGATTGTGTACTCGTAAGCAATTGTGGGGATTTGTGCACACAAGGTCCCACAAACAGCTATGAAATGAATGACCAATAAAGTATTATTAGTCAGAACATTAAGACAAACTCTGTTCTCTTCTGAAATAGTGTCTTTGGACATTTAACAACTAAACAGGTGGATGGAAACCTCAGGTTAACATCCCATCTGAAGAACAATATCTCTGACTTTGCTGTAATGGAGCTTCAGCCTGGAATACGAGCTCAACTCACAATGTCTGATCTAAAGGCAAGAGTGAGTGAAACGAACACCCAATTGTGTCAAACACCTGATTAGGAATAATCAATACATGGTCCCTAGTAGCACTGAGCCAGGGGTCATGGGCGGATGAACTGAAAGTACAAACCTTTGGTCAAGGAATTTATATTTTTGAAAATCATGCAAAAATAGTAAACATTTAACTGGTTCTTACAAAAGTGTAAAAATGTTTGCAATACTGTACAATTAAAAAATGTAAGACATAGGGATTTGTCTTTGTTCCTCCAGTTACTTAAATATTGGACAAATGAATATCTGAAAGTTTTTTTTTCCAATCTAAGAAATTTATAATATGTTTCACAAAATAAATTGCAAGTTTATTGCAAATTTTCTTATTCAACAATTCAATATAAAAATGCACATTGTCTTTAAAGCACTAATTAGCCATTATCAGAAATCTTTCAATTATGGACATAGTGTTTTTTCACTGTTATCTTTGTTGATTTAATTTTCCTGTAATCCCGCTGCCTGTCAAATAAATACAAAAAAGTCAATGACCATAAGAATTTGATAAGACTGTGAAAACATCGCTTTACATGATTTTAATTTTCATTAAAATTTACATTAATGAAACATAACCTTAATTTATGCTAATACTCATAATAAACATGCATTAGGATGTTAAATTTAAACTCTCACCAAAATTTTATACAAAAAAGGGATTGATGCCAACACTTAATTAATTTATATTTTTACAGTAAAGTATTTACAAGATATTTAAATAAGTATCCACAAACAGTACTGAGATTAGGAAGTTTATGGCGTTTGGTAAATTGACATCATTTAAGATTACCATCAACATTTCTAATGAAAGTTTTCATACATCTAAATTCAATGTGAACATGCTTTTACCCTTTTTTCTTCTAGTCTCTGATAGGACAAGCATTGAAGATCTTCAATTGCCTCAGCAATTGGTTTATTTAATGTTTCAGGGAGAAAGAGCCCCATGAATCCTCCCGACATTCCAGTGATCCCAAACACAATAAATGGCATAGACGGATTCATAGATCTCTGTAAAACAGTGTCTCTTATTTTCAGTACGCTTCAATAAAGGCTTCTGCTCAGAAAAACTTGTGATGTAGTAATCACTATAAGGTGCTAAAAAGTGTTTCCCGGATTGCGCGACTAATTTTGTTTTCTTCTGCATCTCTTCATAATAGCTGAACAAGCTGATTTAATTTTATGGACCCAAATCAAAGCAGACAATTGTTTTTAATTGAAAACGGTCAGGCCGCTATATGTGTGGTGAGTGTCCCAACAGTTGGGAGTGGTGGCGTTGGTTGGATGTTTGGGGGGAGATTGTGTTTTGGAATAATTTCCCTGATTCTTTTTTAGTGAATTCATCGCTGAATGAAATATCCTGGCATTAATGTCAGTCTTGTCACCCACTGTTCAGGAATATGTTATGATGTTGTGTGAACCTCTTAATAAAATTAGCTTGAAATCAATCTGCACCATTTATTATTCTTTACGTATTTAAATGGTGCCATTCCATATGCAAAGATACATTGTCACAATTTCATCTAAAGTAAAGGAGGAAAATTGAATCAAGCTGACTTATGTCACATATCCTACAGGAACTGCAGTGAACATAATACAATGTATAAAAGAAGGGAAAATTCACACTAACCAGTGATGGCACAAATGGAGCCAAAATCCCACCTATTCTGCAGGACATGGAACATACTCCTAATCCAGCATTCCTGCATCAAAGAGATCTGATTAATTCATTATTAATGTAATAATTAATCTACACAAACTTAACATACCGTTGACAGCTAGCATTATAAGACTAATCCTTGAATTTGAAATAGCGCCTTTCACGCCGTGAGTATGTCTCAAAGCGCTTGACAGGATTTGCAATGATGATGATGCGTTCCCTAGGAGGCCTGATCTCACAGCAGTCAAGTAATTAAAGACTGATACATCACTCTTCAGATTTAGAAATTAGAAATCAGTTGGATATGCTGCCAACCACACACAGGTCAGCAATGAGGGTCATGTTTCTGGTGTGTGAAATTATCTTCTCAAACCTTGATGTACTAAGCAAAAATGGCATTGGATAGCAAATTATGTCTTAGGATTTAAAACAAAACATTTCTGCAATCAGTATTCTTTATTTCCCAAAACCCGTTGATAAACATCCTTTTGGCATGGAATACAGATTATTTCTAGCACTATGGCAACTTCATCATTCAGCATCACCAATCATTTCTGGCAACATTATAACCCACTTTACGAAGAAACAAGTCAAATTATTGAATTTCTTCCAATTTCTCCCAATACAATGAATCTATCACACAAAGTTTAGTCAATTTTTTTTCAAACCTCTAGCCTGACCTATTCATGTACAACAAACCACTCCCTAATCTTCAAGCACTTTGAGATACTACCCTACGTGGAGGACGCTATGTAAGTGGCAGTTGTTGTTGTAATCGTCCAGTCTCCATATTAAAAATATCATCAATTTGGTTGATTTAACTAACAGAAGTCAATGTCACCACAACTCCTCTAATGTTTTGCTATTTATGCCTGCGTTTATTAAGTTGCTGAAGGGAAACTCTCCAAGTTTATATTGCTGGATTTCATCATAAACCCCACCAAAAAAAATTGCTTTTAAAGAAACTTTGCAATTGATTTAATGTAAACACGTTGGTTTGCCTCTGCCTTCCCTGCAAACTGACCCAGTGAAAGTGGCCTGAGCACCAAATAATGGGTTAGCTGCAATGAGAGTTTGAAAGGGCATAATCTCAATTCAGTTTTTCTTGTTTGGGCCATCAGGAAAGTGCTGAGTGAAAGACTGGTAATTTTTTTCAGCCAAGAGAATTGTATAACATTTTAAATATAGGTGATCAATGTATATACTTCTAAGGAACTAGCTTCTTAGAACAGAAAAGGCCGAGAGCACGTTGCATAGCCATACTCAGTAAGATAATGGCACACACAACACAGAGACCTGGAAGCGTTAAGTTATATCTGAAAGGGTACAATTCAAAAGATATTAATTGGGCGCACATTAGTGACCTTTCAATTGGTGAAAACCTAATATTTTTCCGACAAACCCATCTTTCCTTAAAAAAGAGAATAAGTGTCAGTGGGAAGTAATTTGAATGACAGGCAATTGTTTCTAGAGGTGCCCTTTGCTGGAGTGCTTATATTTATCACAATTTCCATTGACACAAATGGATCTCGTTTTTTATTTCTCTTGCTGACCTCCATTTCGCTACTACTTATAAAAGTACACAAATGTCAGCAAAGACTGGACAGGAGAGTTTTAGTCTGAAAAAACATGTTAATAAAGCATAATTTACTAAGGCAAATTATAAAGTCTAATATCTCCTCAAATACTTTCAGTCACTTTTCCTCAGGAAGATAATATGGTTCCACCATACTTAACGCCCATCTGTAATCAGTGCCATTGAATACATTTTTCTAACCTCACAAATTGCACAGGGAAACACACTTACTAACAATTTACTAGGAACAGAAATGATTGTACCTGATCACAGTCGGATAAAGTTCTGCTGTGAAAACATATGCAATGTTGAAGGCAGCACTGACAGCTAATTTTCCACATAATGCCAATGAGGTAATGTTCAGCAGAAATCCAATCTCTGAATCTGCCATGAAAACAGAAATCAGAATTAGACTTTGTGAAGATACATTAACACATTAATTTAAAAAGCTATAATCAGAATATGAAACAGCATCCGCCACTAATAATCTCAAGATAAGAAAATCAATTTTAAACTGATTGCATTTATTATGCTACAGAAAACTAAAATTCATAAAAGAATGGATTCTTACCCAGTTGACTGGGTACAAACATGGTACCTAGACAGGCAAACCCTGCAAACAGCAGGAATGCAGCCATTGTTTTACGTCGTCCACACCTGCGGGGGAAAATTACATGGGACTATATTATACATCACTCAATCACAACATATAAGATGATGTGTGAGATAAAGGGAAAACTCAAGAGAAAGAGAACAACAAATTTGCACTAGATACTGTACAACATCACCCACTCACAACACAGGGTCCATCACATACCTAGAAAACATTACAACTTCAGAATCAGCATCAGACTTTAACTTTCAACCAAGTAAGTCATTCCAATGTTGTGGTACAATATGAAACAACATTCACCAATAACTCACTTATCTGCGAGTCCTTTGTAATAAAACAGCTGTGATTATTGGATCTATGGTACACTGATGGCCATCTAATAACTCATAGGCTCCAAGATGAAGTTATTCCTTAATTAAATCCAAAAACTAACTGCACGCTCAAATACATTTCTCATCATATCAATAGAGAATTCTTAAGAATACCACCAATTAATTTGCTGTATCAGAAGGCCAGACCTAAACCTGCAATGTACAGAAGAAGGAACTCTGGGCAGTTAGGAAAAGCAATGTAAATGACTGTGCTATCTGCCTTGAGTTCATAGCACTGAACCCAAGCCTAGTTTTCAGACAGTACCTTGATATCCAAAACCTTGATCAAATACAAAGTAAAAGGCTTTATCTTGTGAGAACATTAAAGCGACCATAGGAGTTTCAAAGGCAAAATGCATTCCGCATAAATATCCAAATTGCTGGTTATTCTGTACACTCAAACGTGTGTAGGAGAACCCAATTCATTGCTCATCATTGACAGAAGTAGCATAAAAACAGTAAATATCTTGATCTGTTGTTGCACATTTCACATTAAAAATAGCGAAACAGTAGACTATCTCTTATAATATTAAAATCAAAAATTTGTATTTCATATAGTGGCTTGTTACTCTATGAAATGCAAGTATTTTGATTTTAATATTAATATCATCATACTTCAAATAATCAGGTACTCTGAAATTACTGCAAAGTGCAGTGATTGTTATGTAGGCAGAACGAAACAGCAAATAATAATCTATGCCAGCAACACCCAACAAACAGAAACAAGAGCAATAACAAAGTAATCTGCTTTTTGTGAATTTTAAAAAGGGATATTAACCAGACATGACTGCTCTGCTCCCAAACAGTGCCACGGGATCTTTAACATCCATTTAAACTGATAAAGAGAATCTTAATCTTATCCAAAGCACAGTACTTCTAGCAATGCAGCTCTCTTTCAGTGGCATCCTAAATTCCGACCTAAAGCTACAGTGTGGAAATCAAACCCACAACCCTCTGACCCAGAGATGAGAGTGCTCCAAAATGAGCCAAAGGGACACCGAATTTCATTAATAAGATACCCACAAGGATTGAATAATGAAACAAAAGTCAAATAGCTCCATTGAAATGGAAGAATCAGATTATTCTGTTAAATTAAAACTATGCCTGAGACCATAATAAATGTGGCAATTCAATCTTGTATGCAATATTAATAATGTTGAGGCAGCATTTTTCTATAAAGTAGACAGGTTATTTAGCACACTTTAAACTTTAGTTCAAATACAAGCAATGATGTTTCCAGAATGCCTATTCCTCAGATTTGGAGGACAGAGAGTTAGCATTTCGTATGTAAACTACAGCTCTATCTACTAGACATTAGGTGTGTCTAGAGCATAAACTGTTAATATTTCAGGTACTGTATTGTTATATATTGTATGCATAATTTGAAATTTACTTTGATTCTCGCATTTTAATATACTGTACTTCATATATGAGGGAGTTTCAGAATTCTTTGGTCAATGCCGTTAGATGCCGTTCCTTAAATGATTTGTACAGTAGTTACTGTGAGTCACAGTGGAATATAAATTTGAACTGAAACCCACCTATTAAGAGTGCAAAAACGTGTAAGGTTTACTATAGTGTGCACATTTGTTTTATTCAGAGGCGCCCTTACGAAGAACAAGTTTGATTACAGTGCACCTGCTCCAGAGAAAGATTTCTGCAGTGACACATGTTGTATTAAGGCAGCTGAATTGCCTCAAGCTATTTATCAGATATTCATGTAAGCACTCTTGAGACAAAAGGCACTTAAGAAACTGAGGGTCAACAGACAATAATTACATTATCATTTCAGAATGTAGCATTAATGCAGGGCAACGAGTTGGAAAAAGATTATGCAGTTGACTTTAGAGGACTGGTCAGCTCTTCTTAAACTATGTTTTTGCTTGGTTTGTTTTGAGCTGTGTCCTTGCCTAAAAATAAAGTTTTTTTCTATCATTCCCCACAGTGAAAATAATAATAATAACCCTTGCATTTGATATAGCGCTTTTACATCTTCTAGACGTCTCAAAGCGCTTCACAGAATAGGCTGTAAAGTGAATTGACTTTTTGTGGGCGAAATGCGGCAGCCAGTTGCACAGCTGTGTCCCACAAACAGTCGTGGATTGAAATGAGCAAGTTATTATTTTTTTTGAGGGATATTATCAGGCGTGTGGAGTAAGGAAACTTGCCCAAGGTTTCACCCTGCTGGGAATCGAACCGAGGTCTCTCGCTTGCAAAGCGAGTGCTCTAACCACTGACCTACAGAACTCCACGACAAGTTTAAATATGGCGACAACCTAACAATGAACCTTGGGGTTATCACATCCTTGGTTTATGGAATGAATCCATTATACAGACAAAATGAGAATAAAAATACAATCTGATAGATCTTATTATTTATAAGACCAAAAATTAGCTATCTGCAAACCTTCATATAATTAATGTTTTCAACATAGAATTATTCATTAAAAAGATTTAGCTAGTATAATACCTACCAAGATTTGTCAATGAAGTACATACAAAGGGGAAATGCTGGCACTTCCACAAGGCCGTACATTGCCATGTTAAGATATCGGTTGCCTTTTAATTGTCCAGCATTCATTGTCAGGCCATAATATACAAGACTGCAAACATACCTATTTAAAGTTAAAAAAAATCTAGTTACTTTTACATGGGTTTAAAATCAATGTCTTCCATAAGGATTGCTGCTTATGATGTATTTGACTACTTCAACGACTTATCGTTGAGTCATTCTCCTCCAGTTCCTTCTCCGCCACTCTTGATGCCCTTGCCCCCCTCACCTCCCGAACCACCTCCTACTCATGCACCACCTTTCTCGAGCTGAACATCAACAAGACCGAGGCTCTCCAGATTGCCTCCCATCAGCGCCTTCACACCTCAGACACGGACAACATCCCTATCCAAGGATACACACTCCACCTCACCAAGCCTGGCGGGAACCTTGGCGTCTTGTTTGACCCTCAACTTTCATTTCTACCCCACATCAGTTCCATGACCCGCTCTTCCTTTCCCCACCGCTACAACATCCCTCGACTCCGCCACTGCTTCTCCTCTAAGGCCGCCGAAATCCTCATCCACCCATTCATCACATTTAAGCTCAATTATTCCAACTCCCTGCTTGTCGGCCTTCCCAATTCTTCCTTCCACAAGCTGCAGATCATCCAGTTCTCTGCAGCTCGTGTCACCTCCCGCACCAGAATCTGTAACCCTATCACCCCCACCCACGCCAGCCTCTACTGGCTCCCCATCCCCCAGAGGATAGAGTTCAAAATCCTTGTCCTCACCTTCAAAGCTCTCCATAGCCTTAATCCTACCTACCTTTGTGACCTGCTGACCCCATGTCAACCTGTCCGCTCCCTCCACGGCTTCGTTCACCCTCCTACCCCTACCCTCCCTGCCCTCCACCACCGCTGATCCCGGCACCTTGCTCAGGTCCAAATCCCTGACTGTCCAGTGCCTTGGGATGTCCTCCAAACGTGAAAGGTGCTGTACAAATGTAATCTGTTGTTGTTGTAGTTGTAATGCATGTGTGACCCTCAACAAAAAAACTTTGTTATTTTATCACTTACCAAACATACATCAGGATGACTGTTCGCCGTCGTAATATTGGATGTTTTACCAAGTCCAGAAGGCCAGGTGCTGGCCCACTAGTGTGCATTGCCCCAGCACATGGTTTTAGTTTGAAGATGGTTTTGGCATTTCCATTTCTTAATGAAATATGCTGCAGCACTTCCTCTGCTTTCTCAGTCTTCCCATGCGAATACAGCCACCTTGGAGATTCTGGAAGCGTACTGCAGCAGAAAATTGACGTTATGAAACTTCATTCTGACAAGTAAATTATATGCTACTTAATGGGAGTTTCAATCTGACTAAATCTGTCCCATGGAATCTGTTCAACAGCGCACTCCGTTCACATTATTACATGCTTATGACCAAAATATGCAAGAGAAAATTTTTTGCATAAAAGAAAAATCATTTCAGCAGAGACGCTTGAGATGTGGAAGATAAAGATGGGAATTGCAGGAAGATTGCAAGCTAACTGCGCTCCACAGCAGCCCAACAGTCAATGCCCAAATGTTTGAGTCTGTTAATGTACAGTTAAATCAAAGTGCATTGAAAACATGTCGGGATTTCCTTATTCAGTTTTCTCCTTTCTATTGGTTCTCAAACACACAAAGGTTAAATTCAAAGTTAAGGAAAGGTCTTGCCAAATGTGAACAAGTGAATCACAGCTATCCAATGCAATGGATGGGTAATAGTAATTGCTCAATATGTGTTAATGTGCAGTGTTAGCAGATAGCATTGAGAACACTACAATCTAAGGTCACAGGATATTTTATATAATTTCCTGTGCAATTTATACATCAGACAAAGCCATTACTTACAACTCCTTTCAACATAGAGAGGGAACTTACATAGAAAACAGGAAAAACAGCACTCCAGGGGAATTTGCTGCAGCAGCCAGAGCTCGCCAATCCCTGATGTAATAGCCGATTACGGAAAACAAAGCAATCCCAATCGCAAATACCAAATTAGTGAGTGACCCTAAATAAAAAAAATCCACAGTAAATATCCTGTCTGCGGTACAATATTCTTCAAATAAGAACATGTCAGAGGTATTATATCTAAAGTTAATAATTGTTACATTTGTAGAAATCTTCAAAGTACTTGGATACAAGGTTCCTATTCTGTCACCAGTCACAATTGTGAATAAGCAAAGATGACACACCCACCTGTTAATGCCCAGTAGGATTTTCCCACATATTCCTGTGTCAGTACGAAGGACACGAGCGACATTCCACCATTCATAATCCCAACAATCAGCCGAGTTGCAGCAAAGATTTCATACGTTGGAGCGATTGCTGTAACAAATCCAAACACAACATCGAGGAACAAACCTGGAAGGAAATAAAAACGGCAAACATCAGAAACGTGCAAAAGGCAATGGACCATTGTCAGGTGGGCAATTCAATCAGAACCCATTTCAAGATGACCATATAATATTAAAAAATTATAGATATATATATTCCAATCAATTATATTTGGTGAAGCGGCATATGTACTTATATCAATGCAAATGGTTAATATTTATAATCAGCACATTATGAGTGGTGAGAAAATGAGAATGAGTGTGGAACTTTTGCAAGCAATTCTCAAACTGCTGAGTTGAGAATGAAAGGTCGGTCGTTTCACTGATACTGTTATTCACACTCATGGCCACAAGGTTAACATTAGTCTTCATAAATATTTTAGATCTAATGAGTACAAAAGAGAATTTTAAAGTAGCTTAATCGCTAATCAGAAATTGTTTCTTCAGAACTTGGGATTTTGAACATGGAATGTCTTACATTCATTCATGAAAGTGTCAATCAATACTTAACACAGAAAATACATTCCAGGGCACTGATAGGACTCTGAGCCATTCTCCCAAAACATATCTCAGGAAATAGTTTCCTGGATTGAGTTAACATAATGTCTGACCCATAAATCATGTTTTTACTGCAGCAATTTAAAAAGTTTAAAAGTTCTTAGGAGGCTCACTGGACCACCTTCAAGCCTTGTATAACATTAATAACATCAAAGAACTAACCAGCATTCAGCCCCGGTTAGCAGAGCTTCCTGAATGCACAGCCCTGCTCAGCCCTTGGCCAATGCAATTTCAGAGTGAAAAATATGAATGCTGTTTCCTGCTCTAAATATCACTTTGTTGCTGGAAGTAATAATGAATCATGTGAGCACTAGAGTGTATTAGTAATGAGGTCACAGACCCTGGCATGAATAAATTACATAATTTATCACAATTTCACTGAATAATATTTAAACCCCAAGCTTTCATTACTCATGGTATGAATCTATACGATTAGACTTTCTATTAGTTAGAATTCTGAGAGTAGTACAAGGAGACTTCTCCTCTCCTTACCTGCTAGAAAGACTGGTTTCCTCCCCAGTTTGTCAGACAGGGGCCCAAACACGATGTTACCAATAAGAACCCCAACAAAGAACAAGGATCCAGATAAGCTGACTTTGTACGCTTCATCATTGATTAGGTGCCACTGTAGGGATTTTAAAAAAGATCAGTTTATTCTTCCTAAAATTAAATTACTAACACACAGCAGAATCCCGCCCTAGTTTAACTATGTAAATCGTCGCAGCAAGAACAATGCAAGAGGTTACTGGATAAATGGCAAATCATTCTCTGGAAAGGCAAATTTATAAATTATATTCAACGCTAGTTAAACGGTGGCAAGGCGATCGGTCACATGCCGACCTTCCCTTCACCAACGCCTGATGCCTTTGTTGAGACTTTTCCATCAGCTCTCAGTTCGGTCATAAAAAGCGAGCAAGGCATCACATAGCGCAGCCCCTCCCAGGAGCTGTAAAGATGCCTCCTGCCTGCTCGCTCGCTGCAGAGCAGATCAATGCTGGGACTGCAGAGGATGAGGGAAACACATGAGCTGTATCATCTTAGCCAGTCCGGGAAGCAGAACAATGATTCTCATTCATAAATCTAGCGATGCTAATCTGCTGTGCAGAATAATTAATGTCACTGTTCCATTTATAGAACAGAAATAGCTGAAATGCCAATAAAACTAGTTCTAAAAATAGACCAATTTTACGGCAGTGTTTACAAGACACAATAAATCAATTTAATTTAACCCAAACAATCCAATTACCTTGCAAAAGCTATAGGGTATAAGATGTATAACCAGGTTTATGCCAGGAATTACGTTCCTTTCCCTTCTCCTTCCTCTACATCCTCAATCTTTTATTCTTTTATGGACACCATCCCAGTACCATTATTCACTCACGTCAATACATATTGCTCTATGCATTCACACAGAGACTCTGTATGAAATAAAATCAGCCAGTGTCAAACTGCTCACATGCCTCAGTTACAATGGAGGTGAAATCGTCCTCAAATGTGATCTGCTTAATCATTTCCTCATGATGGTTGGACACTACTTCAGAGTTTATCTTGTATTCAGGCTGGGCTCCCACAAGTACAATGAGCATTGACTGGCATGCAATATAAATCTGAAATACAAAGGAATATTGTTTTAACTTATTCTTGTAGAAATCTTTTAATATCTGTTAGTCTGTAGTAAGAAGGCAGAGTCACTCTCAGTCGTTGTAGTCATGCAGTCAATGAAATGTTAGTTAATGAAATAAACTCTTAAGTGTGAGTCAGAGATCTAGCAGGATGAAATGAAGCAGCCAGGCCCTTTGTAACTCACCAATACAAATGACCGAACATCTGCCAAAATCTACCTTGATACAGATTTTGTATCATGGACATTCCTCGATTCGTTCTATTTGTTCATATATAACAGCAGCAATAGCTTGGGTTTCTGAAAAGCCTTTCACTTTTTGGAGAATATCTTGAAGTGCTTTACATAACGATATGGATCACAGAATAAGATAGGAATTTGCTATGCAAAGGGAGTGAGCAGCAGAGAGGGTCTGGGGGAGGCTGCAGAGAGGGAGGGATATAGTGTGGAGGGATTTGACCCTTAGAACAAAGTACATCAGCAAAGACACCCTCAATCCCCTCCCTGACCTGAGACTGTCTTCTCTCCCCATCCATGACCTCAGCCTAGGCTCCGAGCCATTCCTAAAGCCTTTATCCACTCCATCTTCCAAGATTATAATTATTTCGAATCAACTGAATAAGATAGCATTTAGACGTTGCAGAATGAAAGACTGTGCAGATTTTTTAGCCTTTATTAAAGTTAAGGATCAGTTTTTTTGTGCTGAGGTCACGGTTTAAAGTTAAAGGATTCAACCAGAATAAGTAGAAGCAGCAGAAGGAGAATCTCACTGAGACTGAATACTCCAAACCGGAACAATTCACAACACCTCAATACACTTCATTACACTCAATATGGTGTCGCCTACATTGTACACAAAAACCTGAAAGGAATTCTGCACATTCCTCAGAATGTGAAGAATATTGGTCCGTTCCAGATGGAAGGTTTACCGTCCTTTATCAGCTACATAAATCAACCCTGTGCAGCTGAAGCTCACATCCGACAGACCTCAGTGACCCGTGCTGCTGGTCTGGGCAGAGCATTATCATCCCCGCAGCGGAGGCAATGATACCAATTACACATCCCTAATTTCCTAAAAATATTACTGCTGAACATTTATTTAATTGGAAATTAATGAATGAAGTGATCAACGTTTTTTGATCAATGTGAACTGTTAAATATATGTCACACATTTGAAACTGTTTTACTCACAAATACATAAAACGTTTCATTTTCCAGTTACGTTCAGCATTCAGAGAGTGCGCTCGCGGACTCTCCAAAACGATCTGTTCTGACGTCACAGCACTGCTGTTTCACCTCACAGTGATTTTCTCAGTCACTCACCAAAAATATTTGTTGCCGTACAGCAATAATTCAATATTTAGAATGGTTAACTTGTGTTTATTAAATTTAGTACACTCAAGAGAGAAGCAAATCATGAATTCCAATACTCTTCTCGTCTCCTGAAATAACATTGTTACTAAATGTTGACCAATATTACAGCGCAACAGAAACTAAAGAGATCTGAAACTACTCTAATGGGAGACAACTTCCGTCCGCAGGCTGATCTCGCTCCATGATACCCGTGTACGGTGACGGGAACACGGGCTGAATTCTCAGGTGTTGTTTTCTTTTTGAAAAAAATAACAGTCAAATCAATGGAATTGGCCGCAGCGGAAATCCAATTCAACGCCCGACAATTTTAAACAAGACTTCTCTGAAACATTTGAAAAGAAAACGTTTTAAGAGTTCACGAGCAAGTACGTCAAAGCATCCTTCGGGCTGGTTACACGGCTGAACAGACGTTGGTTTCTCGCGGCCGTCGCCACGGAATAATTCAGGCCTTTCTGAAGACGCGCTGGAAAGATTTGCGTTTTTTTTTNAAGACGCCGACGATAGCACTGAAGCCAGTGGAAGGTTTCCAATCAATAAAACAGAAAAGCGCTCAGGGCTTAAGGCTCCAGTCAGACTCGTGCAAACACTGAACTTACACCAACCAGAGACCGAGGGGCTCAAACCACACGGAAACAGGTAACAGCAGCAAATTAGGTACCCGCCTGAATGACCTTCCTTTTTGGTCAACTCCCCGCGACCCCCTAAACCCCCCCCCTCCCCTCTCCCGCCCCACCCTCCCCCACGGCTCGGGGGGAGGGGGGGGGGGTCAGACTCCGCCGCTGCCAAAGCGCTCCGGGACCCTCACCCCACGTGAAGGGCGCTCTGTAAAATACAAGTCGTCGTCGTCGTAAAGCTCCTTTCGAGTCGGGGTGGAGGACGTCCGTCCCGAGGCGCTGGACAGTCAGGGGCTCGGACCCGGGGTGGGGGTGGGGGGGGAGGGTGGGGGAGGGGGTGGGGAGGGTGGGGAGGGGGTGGGGAGGGGTGACAGGAGGCGGTGGTAACTGGGGTGACCAGTGGGTGGGTGACCAGTGGGTGGGGTCCCAGGGGGCGGGTCAGGTAACGGTGCGTCCCTCGAGGGCCCCAACAACCACCAGAGCAGCGCCGACAGGAACCCTCCAGCGACTGCACATCGTGTGTGTGTCCCCCCGACACCCCACCCCCCGGGGGGAGGGGGGGGGTTTGGGTTTATATCAGAGTCACTGAGACCACAACCCAACCCCGGGGGGAGGGGGAGGGTACTGACACCCCCCCCCACTGTAATGAGGCCCCGCGGGCCGCATCAGGCCCGCGTCCCTCTCAGCTCCAGCTCCGAGGGCGGCGGCGGCGGCGGCGCCACGCACCTGCAGCAGGACCAGCAGGCAGGTCAGCCGCTTCTGGTACCTCCCGAACTCGCCCGCCGACGCGAACGCATCGTCCAACTCCATCCCGTGGGCGGCCAACACCGAGCGCCAGCGATCATGTTCACTCCGCTTCCCCCTCCTCCCACCCGAACCCCGACAGCCGCCCCTGAGCGACGTGGCCATTAGGCCACAGCGCCGCCCGCTGGCGGATGGCCGCGACCACAGGCACAGCGACGCCTGCGGGGTGCAGCCCAGCACCGCGTGCACAGCGCCGCCTGCTGGGGGGAGCCGGTCAGCACAGGGCACCACAGGGCACCGCTCTGTGGTACGTGAATTCTGCTGTTTAATGGAAACTCAAGCCTTCACATTACATTGACATCCTTCAAGAACGTAGGTTACCCGACTCTCCAGGGCAGGGAGCGTTTGCATCGAGACATTAAATCGAGCTCCACCGGGTACCCCGTTTAGGTCGACGGTGAAGATCCCGCCGGTTCGCTTTGGAAAGCGAAGTTGTCTCGGCCGACGGGTCCCCCAAATAAAACTGGTCACTCACTTCATAGCGGTTTGTGGGAAATTCCTGACTCGAATTGGCTGCTTGCATTCGCCTACAGAACACTCCACTTTACAGTATATCCTGTGAAATGCAGCAAAACATCCTCTTGGCATGAACGGCACGATATCAATGCACATATTGTTATAATATTCATTGCCATTTAATGGCAGTATCCAAGTATCCAAGTCGGTGGCAGAAGCTCTCTGCACTTGAGAGAAATACACACAAGGATGGGGCAGAGGTGATTTACTACTTGCTACCCAATAAGGCAGGTGGACAACATTTATATACATTAGAAAGGTTGGGGTTCAACCTCACTTCAGGAATTCAAGATTCATAGTTTACATTAACAGTATTGGGGAGTATTGCATTGTCAGATGTACCATCCTTTGACTGAGACGACTCAAGGTCCTTTCTATCTGTTCAGGCTGACATTTCACAGCACTACTCGGAAAGAGAAAGAAGTTTCTCCCAGTGGTGTTGCCGACAATCCTCCAGATAAGTTGATTAGTCACACCATGGCTTTTTGTTGGACATTTCTGTACACTAATTGTTGTGAAGTGCTTTGACGATGTAATAAGACGCTATATCAAATGCATCATTATCATCATCAGTGCTTCTTTCAGTTCCCCATTGGTAAACACACAGACTTTACCAAGTATATATAAAAGTGATCAAAGCGAAACATTTGGTACAAATCTGAAAAGGATTTATTACAGTAAAAACTTGCAGGTTTATATTAACCTGTACATTTATTGCAGCTCTGCTGCTTATCAGAATAAAACCTAATAGCAATAGTTTCAAATATATCTCACATGATTTGAAGACCTGGCAAATAAATAATCAAATTAGGATGCCAAATTGCATTGAATTACAGGAACTATAGAAGTTGTTGCACTCAATACTACACTAAACTCAAGTATTTACCTTAGGAATAAAATAGGTTTGTTCCATATTTAAACAAGTACAGAAATCAATACAAATTGATAACATATACTAAAAAAATAAGTTAACAATTATGTTTAAAAACATGCAATTGGTGTTTTCAGATATTTCAAGGAATTTCATATTTGGCCATACAGATTTATACTGTATATATTCCATGGGTAACATTTTACACAGCTGTGTAAAATGTTTTTACATGTTTTTAGAAATCTTCTTTTCAGAAGAGCAACATAAACCTAATAATGGTCAAATAGTTAAAGCAGCACTTGAAAAGCTTCCAGTTCACAATATGTTTTGTTACAGATTAAGGACACATTTTGTTTTACGTCATTTCAAAAAGTTTCGAAAAGTTTGGTGCTTTAATAATTGGTCAATTGTAAATCTTTCTGCACAACTGTTAGAGTGATGCTGAAAATGTGAATGTAGAAAATCCTCAGGATTTTAAAACTGTATTTTTAATGAACTCTTTAATTAATTTCCCTAATACTTTCCTCTCAATATATTTGTTTTCTGTAAAGATAAGGTAATTTTTNCCTCAGTCAGCAAAATATTATAAAATGTGTGGACTGGAGTTCAGTGCTATCGTGTGACATTTCTGCTATAAATACTGTATTCACTTACTGGGTCAACTCGATGGATACATAAAATGCCAGAAAGTCCACTGAAGCAACTATCTTCACACCGTTGAAAAATAAAAATGAAATATTTTTAAACCAAACCCAAATACAAATACTTAGGTCACCCCAGAAATCAGAACAAACATCCGTGGTGTGTTCCCATTTGTTTTATCCCAAAGTGATGTAATTACACTGAGGTCTCTTCTTGCTTTTCAGCTTGAGTGAGCCATATCGAAGCTGTAAGGAAAACATCACATTTGGTTTGTTAGTGCAAATACGATAGTGACGTCTTTCTATAAACTTAAGATTCTTCAAGGGAGCTTCTCCCAGTATCCTGGCCAAATTCCAACAGATAAAATTGGACATTCACTTTGTGGCTGTTTGTGAGACATTGCTGTGCATAAATTGGTTGTCACATCTGCCTACAAAATATAGTCACTGCAGTTTACAATAAATCCTTTGAAATTCTTTGAACATCTTTGGGCCTAGAAAGGCATTATATCAGATGTAATATGTTTACTGCAGTGGCAGACAGGTGAGTATCCTGTTGTATTTTGTTGTTGGTATTGTAGCCAATTTATATTTACAAGAAATGCAATCATCCATACTATTTGCTTATCCATAAAGTGACTTGTCCCAATTAGTGTGGTTAATTGGATTTCTACTATTCTAAGTTCTTATTGAGCAGTGAGAGAAAATCAACTCGTACGTTTTAAATATACATAAATACTGAAGCTAAATATTTTACAGCTAGAATTTAAAACCAGGCCACATTTTGAAAATTCATACAATTAAACAAAACAATCTCCATTCATACACTTAGCTACTATATTGCGTGAAATCGATTAAAACATAGCAAGAATATAAAGGAAGATAAAGTATACAGCTTACCTCTCTACGATGACCTTTTTGTTTCACAATTCTAAAACTCTGAGATCGACGGAGTTGTTTTTGACTCACAATTTCATCATCTGAATGAACACCCTCATGGTCCACCTCTGGCCTATCATCACTATCAACTTCCTCATCAAAATTGAAATGTTTGGCTGAAAGATGACATGCAATGGTTACTTTTTTTTCAAAAAATATTTTAAAAAATTTAAATATTCTTTTACATAAAAAAAGGAAAGAATAAAATAGGTCTGTCAGCAAGTGAAAGAATAATAAGAAAAGTAGGGAAAAGTTGTTTAGAATATTGAAAAAATGGGAATCAAGGATATGTTTAGTGTTTAAATCCCGCTGTTTTAAGGTGTAAAAAAAGTATGATGCATTTGTCTTACTGTCCACCAGAGAGCCTCATAGTTCTCAAAGGAAATTGTTAAAACATTACAACGTGGTACAAGGTTGGTAATGCTAGTGGTACATGAAATGTTGATTTTTCATTTAAAAGTTGAACATATATTTTTATGTCAAACTGGTTTGGTTTCAAAGAGTCAGAGAGAATTTCTATTTCCGTAATGCCCAAGGCACAGGGTGTACAATTCAAGGTGTATACTGTCAGTAAAGGGTGGATACTTTATTTCACTGGTTTTGAAACAAGTTCACAGTTCTGTCAGTCAAAGATTTCCTACAATACTAATATGGCAGTTTAGGCAGCAAGGTGGCACACTGTTGAAATTGTGCAACACTACTAAGGTTTGCCAAATATTGTACTTACCAACCATAATAATCCCTCCAAAAACCAAAAACCAATAATAAATTGGTCATTTTCAATCTACGACTGTTTGTGGGACATTGCTGTGCGCAATTGGTTGCCGGGTTCGTCCACAAATATACAGTCAATTCACTTTACAGTGTGTTCTGTGAAGCGCTTTGGGACGACCTCCCGACGTGAAAAGTGCTATATCAAATGCAAGGATTATTATTATTATTATTATTATAATCTGACTACTGTCAACAATCACTTTGAAGTATATATACATCAACATAAAACATAAGAAATGCTAGACGAAGAAAAACCAAGGTCCATCTAGTTCGCCTTCCACCATCCTGGTGGTCGCATGCACATATGTCCGAAACTACCTCTGTACTGTATCCCATAATGCTATTTCCTAAAAGAAACTATCTAATCTGTGTTTGAAAGAATCAACACTTCCTGCTTCAACTTATCCCTACAGGGAACCTGTTTCACAGGTTCACTATTCACTCACTGAAATAGTGTTTGCGTAGATTTGTTCTGAATTTACCCCCTTTCATTCGCAGGCAGTGTCCTCTGATTTTACTTTTCTGGACAAATTAAAACAGCCTGTCATGATCTATATTGTTTTGCCCCTTTACAATCTTAAAGACAGCAATCATGTCGCCTCTCAATCTTCTCTTTCCAGCGTGAACATGCTCAATTTACTTAGTCGCTCCTCATAGTCCAGTCCCTCCATTCTCTTGATCATTTTAGTTGACCTCCTCTGGACCTTCTCGATTTCTCCAATATCCTTTTTGTACTGCGGTGACCAGAACTATACACAGTACTCTAAGTATGGTCTCACAATGATTTATACAGTGGCATGATTACCCCACTATTTCAGCTTGCTATTGATCTTTTGATGCATCGCAACATCTGGTTTGCTTTACTCACTGCCACAGAGCATTCATTGTTGGGAGAGCTTCAATTTATTGTCAATCAGGATCCCCAGGTCCTTTTAATTTTCCATACATATCAACAACAACGTGCACTTATATAGCACCCCTCATGAAGGGTAGCGTCCCAAAGCACTTGACAATGGCGGAACATGACTCCATGCCGGGGGGAGGGGGAGGTGACCGTAGGCACGGTCAAATAGAAAGGTCTTCAGACCCGACCTGAACATGGGGAAGGAAGGGGCAAGGTGGAGGGATAGAGGAAGAGAATTCCAGAGTTTCAAGGATTAGTAGCTGAAAGCACAGCCACCAATGGTGGAACGGAGAGTACAAGGGACATGCAGAAGGCCGGAGACAGTCAAGTGGAGGCAGTTGGGGGGGTAAGCAGGTCAGAGAGATAGGGAGGTGCCAGGAAATGAAGGGATTTGAAAATGAGTGTGAGGATCTTGAAATCGACCCGTTTGGTGATGTGAGCCAGTGGAGTTTGGCTAGAACTGGTGTGATGGGGCACATCAAATGGGCACAAGACATTTAAGCACCAGAAAGTTTCATTTGTGCGATACGAAGGTCAGAAAGTGCTTAGCCAAGTGATGTCACTTCATGTTGTAAACAATACAGTTACCAACAAAACCCATTGATACGCAAAGGACTGATGAAAACTCCTGTCTGACTCAAGACTAGTATAGGGTAACCCAATTATTAAGTGCCTCCTTAAAGCGTGGGTCTGTTTTTAATATGGGTGCCCCGTGGATCCGTGGTTACCAGAGTGTGGTACACTTCCAATTTTCCTGCGCCAATATCCCAACATCCAGGTCAATTGGTTACCGCCATTGTCACTTCCTGCCCACAGCTCACACTGCGCACGCACAGGAAGCACCACTGAAGTCCCTAAGCAAAGGAAGTGTGATATCACTTGCAATGTGCAGGAACTTTAACAAAAGTGCAGGAAACAATACTGACAATGACCTGATGAACTGAAAGTCGGCCATTTTTTCACACTCCCTTTTAATGCAGTATCTGAGATATTGGACCCAGCTATAACGGGCACTGCTCTGCATTAGTAAACAGACTGAAGATTAGAGTATTATACATTTTAACAATAACAAGTTTATGATAAGTGTTGGGGTGGGTGGCGGGGGTGGAGTAACTAATCTATTCCCAGCTGTTATTGCTTGAGAAGCAAACAGTGAAACTGGGATCAATCATTTAGCAACATCTAACACTCTTAGGTCAGATGCAGGGCAAAGCTCCAATTACAACAGCCTTGGTGCATACTCTATAGCATCCATGTTTCTAACTGCAGAGGGGAGAGAGAGAGAGAGAGAGAGAGAGAAATATATAATTCCAATTACTGATCAGAAATATTCTAAGTCGCAGTTTTATCTCAATCTTACCTGGATTTCCAAATAGATTTGAAAACAAAAAGTTTGCACGCATATAGTGCCTTTACATGGGGAGGGGTCTTGGGAGCGGAAGACAGCAGGATGGTGGTCTGTGACACAATAGTACTTACTAGGATCCTCCTTGGATAGACGCTTAGTCTTCTTTTTGGTATCTGCAGCTTGAGTTAGAGAGCGATATCCTATTGGTTCATCACCTTGTATTGTTGTTAGATCATGCATACTTAAACTTCTCAGTCTTTCTGTGATTGCACCTTGACTCTGTATGGTAAATTGAACAAATATGTGAGAATAGCATCACAATAATGCTTTTAAAAGTGATATTTGATTTTTAAAATATCCTGTTAAAAAAAATCTACATTAACCACACCATTGATTATAAGGTCAATATTGGGGTTCATAATAACTAATAACTAATATTAGTACGTATACAATGGAGTACAATGGAGCCAAAGAGACAAGGAAGCTTCCAGTTTCAACCTTGAACTGTGGCAAACCACTAAAACTTACAATTGGCCTTTCACAGAATAATAACACTGACCAAAACTACCATTCCCAATTTCTATTCAAACTGGAAATGTGCACAAACAGGAACCAGTTAGTTTCTGTGATTATGTTGTTCAATATCAACTATCTAGGTTAACATATGATGAACATCCATTTTGACAAGGCACTGGTGGGATGGTTCCCACGCGTTCGCCCACAAATATACAGTCAATCACTTTACAGTATATTCTGTGAAGTGCTTTGGGACGTCTAGAAGACGTGAAAAGCGCTATATCAAATGCAAGGATTATTATTATTATGGTGAATATCACATGAACCTTGTCCTAACAACATGAGAAAACGGCCTACATACAGAAAATACTGGGAGAGACATGGAAGATAAAATAGACAAGTTCAATGAACAATAAATATGGAACTAATTTCTAAGGAAGTGTAAACAGAGAAAGAAGCAGTGCAAATACAGTATATTTACAGAATGAACAAAGTTAAACAGAAAACATTCCACAACTATCTATAGAACACTAAAAGTGGGTGGTGCATACTATTAGATACTGTGAGGGGGAAAACAAGCTTGGCTGATTTACCAATATAAATATATTTTGTTGTAAAAGACAAAAGCAGTGCTGTACAAGCAAAACACAAAAGCAACTATTTGTTAAATATTAAACTTTTAGTGACACAATCCTTTTAAATAAATGGATAGTATTGATCTGCTCTTAGGAGTGAGCTGGCAATTGATTGCATGAATTTATCTTGGTCATCTTCGCTATAAAGCTCCATATCATTTTAGTGTTTTAGGCTGTAGACTAAAGTCAACAATCAAAATTCCTCAAAACCAATGCTGATCAGTGTGTACAATGTTAGATACACATTCAAAATAAATTTTTAAATATTCACATCGTGGGACTTCTCAAAGCGTTCACAAAATATACTACAAAGTGGATTGAATGTGTATTTTGTGGGCAAAACCTAGCAGCAAATTGCGCACAGCAGTGTCCTACAAACACTCATGGATTGAGTGACCAATTTTTTATATTTTTTTTAAAAGGAATTATTACCCCCGGAAAAACAACCCAACAATTGACTAACATCAGGGTTCCTACTTACAGCTAGGTAAACAGAGGCGTGTGGAGTAAGGAAACTGAGATTTCGCCATTAACAAGCATTATGTATCTGAACGATTTAAAGACATGACTAAAATAATCTGCAAAATGCATCAGAATGTTTGAATTATGTAATGATAATACTAAGGTAAAAATAAAGCTAAATGTACTCTTAAATGTGGGTTGCATTTATAAGGTATAGAAACTGAAGGCAGTATCATAATGTTTAAGAATTATTCCTAAAATAATATTCTGTTTGCTGATAGTTCATTTTATGGATTAACATTAATTTTCAGACCTGGAATAACCGATTAAGCTTGAGATAGAAATATTTAAAATTAATTGGAAAATTAAAATTATAAGTCAGACATGCTATTAGTTATTTTAGAAGGCAGTGATAAAATTAAATTTTAGGAAATTCATTCAAAATGCATGAACTTTAACATAGCAATTAAAATACCCAATTTTAAAGACCAGAAGTGATCAGCAGCATTCCTCGACAAATACTAACATATAAAAAAAACACCAACAATGCTTTACGTGACACTATTTATGCCAATAATCTTGTTACCTCAACTTGACTGGGCCAGTATAACAGCAGAAAGCTGAGCAATAATCCTGAAAGACAGTGTGTGAGTATAGGCAAGAGAAAGCAATACCAAAGTTAGAATAAAGACAAAAGGGACATCTAACCTAGAGTAGAAAATTGTTGAGGTAGATTTACAGTACAATAACAGTGAATGGCATTCTTACTATCAACGTTTCACATACCATTTGGAACTTTCACATTCCACATGCAGTACTTAAATATTCAAAAGGCTAAGATTATAGGGTACAACATTTAAAATGAAAATTCAATTACATACAGACTCAGATAGTCCCATGTTTGGTCTACACCGTATGCTGAGCTAGCAGACCTCAGCTGGGGTGGCACTTAACTCGTGGTATTACAATTGTCCTCAGAGCACCAGTTAGAGAAGAAACATTCAACAAGGACTGCTATAACGGTTTGCTGTCAATTATCTCCTAAGTGAGGCATATGTGTGAATCCTTAGCAAAAATAAGATCAGGTCAGCTACAATGTTCCTGCAGTTGAACAGCCTGACAGTATTTACAGCCACGGTTCACTTATGAATAAGTGAGTGAGGTACTGGAGATCACTCAGGAAAAACTAATTACATGCATACATGAGGGAGAAGGGAATCGATGTGCATAGAATTAGGAGGGATGGAGGCTCATGCAGAGTATAAATATCAGCAAGAATTGGTTGGGTCAAATAGCCTGTTTCCATGCAGTAACATTCCACGCAATTCTATGAAATCAAAAGCTTTCAGGAGAAATTGGCGATTAAAAAAAAATCAATGAAAATAAAATGTTTCAAACTAATAGGAATGATTTTAAATTGTTTGGAGTCTCTGGATGATGGAGATCAGAAAATCATTTTCATAGCATGTTCTTAACTCTTTGTCCATCATTCTCTAGAAGCATTTTTTACTGTTCAAAGGTGGAGCTGTGAGGTTTGTACGACATCGGCCATCATTCCACATACATTATTTGGAAAATTACAGCTTTGAAATAACTTGTAGGATAAACTCAGATATGCAAGATGTATCTAAATCTGACTGAAAATAGTAGAGGTAGGGCTGCAAACATTTAAAAAAAAATGCTTTGAATCACAACTGAAATTCTCTGAAAGTTAATCCTTAGTTTTCAACTTCAATTGTGGTCAATGATCTCTGAATCTATAAGTACATGCATTACTTGCCTTCACTGCTGCTGACACAGCGGCTGTTGCAGCCAGGTTTAGACCTTGCTTTCCAAATTTCACCATGGAATTATAGCCACGCTCTTTAGCTTGAACTATATAGTCATCAATATCCTGTAAGAAATTAATTCACTTTTTCCATCAAATGTGAACTTAAAACATTTTTGGTCAAGTTTAATAAAAACAAGATTTGACTTTAGGGAATAAAGCCAAAGTCACAGATGGCTGTTGTGAGTATGTCAATTATTGGAAAAGCTTCCAGTATAAAATAATGACAAATTGCTCTGCTTTTCTTCTTTGCTGTTTATCTTTAGTTAATGTACCTTTGTCTGGGTAATCCATTAGTATAAACATTAGCATTCTTAAGAGACTTGCCTCCAATATTTTTTTTTACAAGTTGACAAAGTGTTCAAAATTGACATAAACCAAAGTACTTACTCGTTCACGGGAAGACAGAAGAGGATGCAGAAATTTTCTGTAAAGTAAACTTGCTCCTCTAGTGTAAGGAGACAGTAACCAGATAACAAATGCCACTTTAAGTTCATAGTACAGTGGAAACCTGCAACAAAATACAGTGCCAATAAAATTATACAACAAAGTAATCTAAAATCAAGCTATAATTGGGATTTTATAAACTATTTATTCCTTACCTGCTCAGTTTTGTTAAACTCACAGCTAAAACTAAACACATTTTACAACTGGCGTCTAAAATAAAGATGCTAGAATGTCTTAATTTTATTTTTTTGTAAATACAACTTACATCTCCCCTAAACAGTGATGTATTTCACATAGGACGTGAAAACCCAGACATTCATGTTTTCATTTATATTCTCACACCTTTAACCAAATGTTAGATATACTGTATATTCTAACCCTGTATAATTTGGAGCAGAAAATATTTCTAAAAAAAGTTAATTACTCTATATCAAACGAACAATTATATCACAATTATTTTCCATAAGTTAGCTTTGATAATTTCAATGTATGGGATAATACATTCTGAAATTTTGGAATTCACGTTTTCCAAGGTACAGTGAAGCAGCTACTTGGCACAGGCAAAACAAGATATGAAAACTATCAGAGGAATTAACAGCATCCTGAGTAAGTTGTCTCATCCTCCCAGGTGTAAGTGTCAGGCCAGGTAGACACAATAAGAATAAATACAAAAATGAGGGAAAATACATTCAAATACCTTCAATAAACTACAGAATTCTACACTTTGTGCATCAATTTTAACAAGGTTTATCTAACTGGAACTAAATATTACCGACTAAGCAGGATTTAAATGGCAGTATACAATTCCTATTGAGGATGACACTCATCCCAGTTAAGTGCCAGATTTCACTATCATATACCAAAATGTTCTCTATAAATGTCAACAATGGTAAATTTAGTAACTGGAAATTTTTGTAAGACACATATGCAATTGCAGAAAAACAGAATCAGCAGTCATTATACGTTGCCAGAAAATTACCAGTTAAGACTGGCTGTGGTACTATAACATTGTTTTTAGTTTACACAAACACCCCTCGAGTCCCATAATGTTTTGGGATTCTGGGTATTGATTTTATTTTTAGTAATAGGGAAAAAAGCCACAAATTTGCTGTCCAAAGTCATCAAATATGATGCATTCATTATCTTACCAGGACACTGTGAGATCTGCAACGGTTTCAATAACAGTGTAAAGGGCAAAAACAATCCAGTACATCATCCATCGAACCTGGAAATGTAGAAATGCAAAGTAAACTTGTGAAGTATAATCTGTACAACACATGCTACTTACTCCTTTTTTGACAAAGATGTAATATGACCTAGCATGACTTTATGAATCCCAGCTGTTCCACAAACAATGAACTGGGTCACCTTGACAACTTTAGTTCAGTGCAGCAGAAAGCAAAGTGCCACTGAACCTGGCCATTATATTTTAACAGCAGCCTTTAGTTTGGACTCTGCCCAGTGAGCTCCCAATCTTGTGCAGAAGCACCAACAAGAGCCCACGTACAAGACATTCAATGGGATTCAAAAGGCAGTAAAAGAAAAACAATACCCAGATCGCTCTCATACACATTCGAATTCACGGAGCTGGTTTCAGTGTTTTTCTATCACAACCAAGATGTAGAAAATGGCTTGAAAAATGGGTCTCACTGCATTGGTTGTAAACTAAGCATGGAAAACTACCATCAGCGTTGTATCTTAGAACAGCTGATACTAGGAACAACATTTTATTCCATACTTTGAAATAGAAGCACAATTGGAAATAAAATATCAGGATTTCCTAGTCATTGTTCAGATACACTAAAAAGATAAATATGTCTAGTAATATCAAGTGTAACTCTGTGACATTTTGTTGTGAGGGTTGAACACATTGAGTGGTTTTCAGGTGAAAAGATATTTCAATATTCAGATTAATAACAAGTAAGATGTAAATACAGGTTTCGTAAAGCATTTATTTCACTGAATGTAAAACAAATCGTGCTGCTTCCCCCCCTTCCCCCTCACATTTTCAAATGTATTACAAAGTCTTTTTAATTTCAGTAGTATTGTTAAGAAGTTCTGTGCGCAATAGTGTTCTGCAGTTCAACCTTTAGGGATCAAGGGATACTTTAAGCTCGACTGAACGCAATGAAATTAAATTCCATCAGCCTGAAATTCCTCATGTAGCAGGCAAAGTTAGGCTTAAATTGGTGACCTTTCTGTGAACTTCCCAATGTACATTTCTCTAAAGAAAATGAGAAAGATTATCAGCCAATAAAAGGTAGTGATATATTAGAAAGGTTAGTCATTATCAAAATAGAACTTGAAAAGAATATAATAACTTGTATTTATATAACACACTTAATGCAGGATAGTATCCTGGAACGCTTGGTACTATTGTTAACTACTACTGTTAACAGCATTGTTTTCCCTAATAATGAATCCTTCTTCTGAAAATAAATTTAAATTTCTGAACTCTCAAGTTTAGATTAATAGTTTACATCTATTCCATTCTATTTACTGGGTGTATCATGATCTGCCTATTGGGAATACGAGAGAATGGGTTTGAAAGCATAGCAGAGAAACTATGCTTTTGAAACAAAATACTGTATTGTCTGAGTACCATGACATTAGAAATGCAGCAATATGATTAATCAGTAATCTACTGGTGTTTTCTAGCAGTGCTGTCATAATCTAGTTTAACTGAAATTTTACAAAGAGGATGCCAAATCAACTGCATAGAATATGTTGGCACACGTCAGACTTAACACCCTCCAAAATAAACCCAGCCAGAAGCTTGAGGCTTCATAGGAATGTTCAAAATCAAGACAAAGGAAGTTAATTATAAACGTTTGTGCCAAATGCCTTAAAGACAGTAGCCATTGAGTTTAGCTAAATATATCATTTCCCCTTTCTCATAAGTAAGGACAGCATACAATCCTTTAGTTACAGCAATATAAAGTCACTTTTAACAATCAGTTATGTACAATAGGGCTTTTGTCTTTCTACAAGAAAGCATTGCAAACCATCACCAGGTTCTGAAGGAAAGCCCTTGTCCTCTACCCAGTACATTGTGATAGCGTTTTGCTGGTATGGACATATCTGATGAATGATGAATGAAATTATAGATGGGGGGGGGGTGGAAACATTTTTAAAAAATGTACTTCTTGAAAAAAATAGCTTCTTTCAATGTTCATTACTCCCCCACTGCCACCAAGTGATACAATAAAACTTGCATAAGTCTTATCTTTATGAATCATATAATCACCAAAGTCACCCAAGTCCCATTTAGGTTTCTATTAAAACCACTTTGAATTCTATGCTTAGGGGTTAGTAACAATGAGGTGGCAACACGATCTAGTACGCCTGGATTAAAAGACCAGGGAAAACAAAAAAATTATCTTTTTCCTTTTCACTCATAAACACCCAAAGCATGTCTTTTTTCTAAATTCCATTATTTCCTAACTCCTATTATGTAAAACACTTAAAAAAGTACTATTAAGACTAATCATACAATATTCTCATTAAACAACTAAACAACTAGAAATTTAACCTGAATTTGGACAGACTAATCAACCCTTGCTCTTGTGGTTGATGTCAACTGATCAATCAATAAGATAGATTGTGGTCATTACTGTCTCCAACTGCTTAGGTAGTGCAATAGGACAAATGTCTATTGATTCCAACCAAACATTTCTGTCGTCTGAGAAGTCAAAAGTCTTGTTGAGCAGTTCATGCTGTATCCTATCAATAATTAGGTTACAAAGGTACCTTTACCTCAAAACAGAAAGAGGACGCTTTGATTTCCAAACCAGAAGATCAAATAACAGTAGCGATTATCAATGTATTCACTCGGAAGCAAAATTAGCAACCAAATACAACAACAACAACAACAAGATTCCATTTATAAATAGCAAGAGTTTGTGATTAAGATGGTGGCACAAACAACTTCTAATTCACTATCTTTTCTATGAGATTCAAAGCAATTGACAGCATAACTAGTCTGCATTTGTGGGTGGTCTGACTTTGGCTCCCCCCTTGTGGACATGCCTAGGGTCTGCAGCCTTTCCTCAAATGGACACTGCTGTAACAGCTGACAACAGCTGAAAAACAGGTTAGAAAAACAGCTCGTTCCTTGGAAAGGACTGGGATTAGTTTCTTTGATCGGATGAAAGAGCACAATGTGTTGATGAAAATTACTTCTCAAATAAATACTTAATAATCCTTACATTTGGTAAAGTGCCTTTCACACTGGGAGGACGCTTCACTGGATATACTGATTTTGTGAGCAACTATGGCAGCCTATTTGCACAATGCAATGTCCCACGAACAATCATGAAGGGAACGATCAATTTTATTGGGTTGGGGGCCGTGGGGGGGAGAATTGTTGTCCAGGGCACGAGAAGAAACTCCCTTCTGTTCGATAGTATCATAGGATCTTTAACATCCACCTGAACGGGCAGATGGAGCTTCAGTTTATCTCGTCTCATCTTACCACGTCTCATCAGAACGATAGTATGTTGAACAATGCAGCACACTCCAGCACTGTATTGGAGCATCAGCTTAGAGTATGCAAGTTCCGAGTCCCAACATGGGACTTGAACTCACGACCTTCTGACTCAGAGGCAAGAGAAGTGATCAATTGAACCAGTCTGACACAGTACCAAAGTAATCGAGATGAAGCAGATTAAGTGGAAAACTTTAATATCCTTGAAAACAACTGATAATTGTTCAAAGGTGTTCATGCAGTTATTAACAATCAAAATGAAAAATTATCAATACATATGAATTGCTCACTGTACCTAATGCACTAATTGTCTGTCTGACATTAAGTCTTGGACGAGAGCTAACTTCCTCCAGCTCAATGTTGGCAAGACAGAGGCCCTACTGCTTGGCTCCTGGCAGCACCTCCTCACCTCAGACCCTAACACTAAAACCATTCATTGCTGCACTCTTCAACTCACTGAGCCAATCCGAAACCTCGGTGTGCTTTTCGACTCTCGGCTATCTTTCAAACCCCACATTCGTTCCGCCTTTCCACATCTCCGTAACATCGCCCGCCTCCACCACAGCCGCTTACCACAGGCCACCGAGACCCTGACCCACGCTTTCATTATGTCCCAGCTTGACTACGCCAACTGCCTGCTCACTGGACTTCCCAACTCTTCCCTCCACAAGCCGCAGATTATTCCAAACTCTGCAGCTCATGTCCTCTCCCGCACCAGGCTCCGGGAATCTATCGCACCCATTTTTTCCCAGCTTCACTGGCTCCCCATTCCAGAGAGAATCGAGTACAATACCCTCGTTCTTACCTTCAAGGCCCTCCACAATTTTGGTCCTCCCTACCTCTCCGACATCATAACCCCATAATCAGCCTGTCTGCTCCCTCTGCTCAGCGGACACCTGCTTGCTCCCGGTTCCCTGCACTTCGTGCCCTACCATTGCCATTTGGGCTTCAGCATCTCTGCCCCCCACACTCTTAAACTCTATCCCACAATCCCTCCGCTTCACCCCCTCTCTTACCCCTTTCAATTCCCGTCTGAAGTCCTTCCTCTTCGACCGTGCCTTCAGCCACCCACCCACACCCCCTGCCCTCCTCCGCTTCTGACCCCAACCCCCAGCTTGGGTCCAAAAGCCCTGATTATCCAGCGCCCTGGGATGTCTTTCCAATGTGAAGGGAGGTATACAAGTGTAAATTGTTGTTGTTGACCTTCCTAGCTTTGGTTAACTTATGAATTTGTTCACAACAGTTCACAAAGGACATCTCAATTTTTTGTTAAAATTGATAAATGTAAATGATAAATTGATAAAGACATATTAATGCTAACAGACCAGTTCCAAACCGGTTGTGCTGCCTCAATACACTCGATTCAGCAGATTTCACAAACCAAGTCCCACCCCTTCTCATTTACAACAAGGGAACAGTTGGGTTCACAAAGAGACTAAGATTTATTGGAACAGCTGCAAGAGAATAAACTTGTAATGACTTGTTTACTAAAAATGTATTCCTGTGTGAAGTTATGAAGAATGTTTGCCTAGGAGTTTGAGGAGTGTGTTATTGGAGTTTGGCTATATTCACCGCATGTAAACAACTCCCTTAAAGCTCAAGTGCCAAAAACACTTTATTTATACTTAAATAACTTAAAAGCTTATCTTAGCCTCAACCAATCAACTCAAGAACAAAACCAACAACTCTTTAGAAAGTTACCAGATAAATCTGGGGAGCCACCCTGGATAAATATCCTTAATAACTAGCATCTGTGGATTTCAAATCAACTCCCAGTTTATTATCAATAGGACTGAATGAAGTATGCACCTTTCAGAAAATGTTTATCCTGTATAAAACAATTAAGCAACAACTCAAATACTGGTATCAAGATTAAGCACACAGTATTGTTTCATGTTAAATAACTACCATAATATCCATAAACAAATTAATTCATAATACCTTCAGGTTTAGTCTCTTTACACCACACAGAAAACATGTTGAACAATTACTTTTTCCAGCTACAAAGATAAATAAACGATCAGTGGTAACAATTCTGTTCAATAAACTACATGTAAATACCATCTCTATAAAGAGAAAGCTATTTATATAAAATAAGATGCTATGAGTAAACTAGACACCAATACTCTTCCAACTGTACAATAAACATTGTTAGCTACCAAAGGTAATTTAAAAAAAACTCTTTCCCCCCTCTCCTTGATGAGGGCAGCAGATCTTCGGTACGTTGCCCTAAGCAACCACGTTTGATTCATGCACAACAGTGAGCAAGTTGATGGACAGTGATTAACCATGAGTCAATCCCAACCCTATAACTGGCCAAGGTCCACGTAAAGGCACTATCATCAGCTACTTCTAAAGGTTGGTCATAATCAGAAATTGTCTGATTTTCTCTTTCTAGTTGCACGAAGCTTAGGCCAAATCTCACACCTTGACTGCATTTGGCTAACTTACCACATATGAAGGACTCAGCTGTTCTGACCTCTACAATTCTGTGTCATACCATGAGAAAAGAATTACCCAGTAAACTTTTGGAAGCTGTTAGATATACATTCTGCATTCCATCTTTCAAGCAATTTATAGGTCAATTACTTTGAGAAGCTTTTTATTCTATAAAATATTCAAACTCACGGAGACTAAACTATTAACACATATTACAGAATATCATTTTATATTTCATTCATGTTCATTTAAAGCACATATTCCTCAAAAAAATAAATATTACAATCTGAATACGTTTTAATAATGTATGTGATTTGCTAGAAAATTAGTAAGTGGTTATGAAAAGGCATACAGTACATGGAACAAGGACTGAAAGGGTTCATGTACTAAATCTGGATTTTGTACTCATGGAACAATATACGTGAGTACTATATTGACACTTATTCAGTTTAAAATATTTCTTAGAAAGCTAATCAAATCATTCTTCAATACACCACACAGCATAAACATAACCACTTTCACGCTAAAGTATCAATTAAAGGCACAACTAATCATCAATTCAACCAATCCTGAAGACAATATAAGTAAAATGCTCCAAAAAATAAATTAAAGTTGGATAACCAGATATTTTAAAACAGAATTCGACTGTTTAGGACTAACTAAATCTACAATGCAGAGCTGCATAACAAATAAAAGATACTTACATATTCCTTTACATTTTTGGTTTTCACAGCTTTGTATGAATAATAAGCAGGATACAAGGTCCCAAACACAAGGCTGTTTGAAAAATAAGTGTATAATTATACATACAACCAATATCACATAATACAGATCTTCAACAACTTTTGTTTCGACTACCAACACCAACTCAGATTGTTCTGCTTCAACTTGCTCAGCTGAAGAATAGTTCCAACAGTTCACCTCAAATACTGAATTTGTAACTACCCATAGTGAAACTGTACTTAAATTCATATATTTATTTTTAGCTAGCATTTCTTACGTTTATTATGCATTAACAGCAATTGTGGGTCACAAAACAAGGAAGAAAGCCCCAAAATGAGATTCTGGTAAAACTCCATTAACTTTCAAATTAGTTTTAAATAGTCAGCTCCAGTTTCAAAAATTAGCATTGGCTGTTTTTATTCCTTGGATTTTTATTTAAGAAAATATTAATATGTACTATGTATATTATATATTCGTAAATGTACTTGAACACATGTTTTTATTTTCAGTATTAAGGGTAAATATTGGCCTGAAATTCTTCGAATTTTTCAAAGAATAAAATAACCTACGAAACTAGAATAGGAATCATGTTTATCATGTACATTTTTAATATTGATAATTTATAGTGATAAGAAAGTAAAAGGGTTTAAAATATTTTGCCAGATAACCAATGTGTATGGAAAGTTTTCCCCCACAAACACGCAAACCAAATACAAAAGTATTCAACAGCAATTTGCATTTTTGCGGTTCCCATCATGCAGGGTAATGTTTTGGAGTGCTCTACAATGGCATAGTTTGACGCCAAACTGGGGAGAAAGGGGAAGTGACTATAGGCGTGCTGAAAGAGGAAAGTCTTACGGTGTGATCTGAAGATGGGCAAAGTGGGGGTAAGGCAGAGGGATTGAGGCAAGGATTTCCAGAGGGTTGGGGCATAGTGGCTAAAAGCATGACCTCTAATGGTGGAGTGGAGGGGTTGAGGGATATAAGGTAGAGGATTTGGTGACATCCAAGAGTTTTTGCAACTAATCATCTTTCCTCCATTAAGTATAAAATATCGCAATTTGACATGTTGGCCTCAAATCCACATCGATCTGTTTGACTGCAATATGAAGATTCCATTTTGTCAAAAAATAATTCCACATAATAATGCTAAACCTTGAAATACACCTCAGTCTCTAATGTTTTATTTACATTGTTAAGTAGGAAACCATCACTTCCAGCTTTCTAGTGATGTGGAGTAGAAAGCCAAATTTACATTCTTTGCCCCAAATCATACTGAATCAGGCTTATATAAAAAAAACGAACACCTAGTTTTAGAATTTCATGTATGAACAAATGTACAACACATCAATATGCATTTCAAAGTTAAAGAACCAATCTCTCAAACAATTCTATTAGTATTAAAGTACAGTCCTTTGAAGATCCTATTGAATTCACCATGCAGAAGCTTTCAACAGACTATGGGGAAAGAACTGTCTGCACATCTAAAGTACTCATTTTGTGAAATGCTTTGAGACTTTAACACAACCAGTGCCCATGAAAGCAGGAAAATGGGGTAAAATTGGTAAGAAAATTACACACCGTGTTTAGGCCTTCTCATTCATTTTCAAGCAAAGAAAAGTCTCAAATTTTCAAGATAAAGTATGCTTCCTTTACTAGTCTTATGGCAATATACAGACTGAGACCAACAGTACATCTTGTGTGCAGACTAATGGCAATTTGCCCTAATGTACCAGATGGGAACAAAGCCAGTCTTTCATCTCAGCTCTGGCTTCCGTTGTATAGTGTTTCCTACTGCAAGGTTTATGCATAAACTTATTAAACTATGCACAGCTTCATTTTTTTTCTAACTATAAGCAATGGAAAGATTTGGCTTTTCAGTACACACAAAGCAAGAAACAGATGCAATTGTGCCATTATTCACAGAAGGGGAATTGGAATCATTACAATTTGAAAAGTAATATATTCTACACACTTAATAGACAGCAGGTTAAACATCCAGTATTTACTTACAAAAGAGTTTGCATGTCTTATGATACTCCGGATTATCTGAGAGAATTTCAGACCACCGGTGCAGCTTCCTGAGTCCTGGCAGGATGATCAACATGCCCACATCTGGCAGGATTCTGACAAGCAAGAACATGATCTCCCACCGCCATAGACTGTGCTGGTGGTATTTCTCAACATGGGCTGTGGAAGTCCCGGTTTAATTCTCTTGTCTGTCCTGCTTTAGCTTAAATTTAGCTAGGAAGCAGGAGAAGGCGTTATAATTGCTCTCAGCAACCAGATAAGAGAGGGAGAGAAAGACAGCTACAGCTCCTGCTGCTGCTCACTTCCTGCTCACTGTTCAGCAACTAAATACGAAGTAATTGGCAGGAGTGTATACATTGTCCTCACATCAGAACAAATCTGCAAAGATGGGGGTAAATGCATCTCCTCAATATTCTTATTTGAAATTTTTGAAGCATAAAAGGGTTTACGTGAATAGAACTTCTAAGGTAACATAACAAATACCCGCATACGGATTATGGTTTGTAATGCAAACAACAACAGTGCTTTTGTCTCCAAATAATTTATATTCTCTCTGGACTTAAGTTATGGAACCTTAGAGGCAGACCACAATATTCTTGAACTTTAACATACTTCTTGAAAAGGCAAAACAAACTAATGGTGCTGTAAATACATGCACAGCAATGTGTCAAGGAAGATCAATGAAGAATAAAGGCATCAGACTGAGATTAGATAACAACGAAACATTGCAAATGTAAACAGGAAAACTTCCAATCTTAAATTTGATAGAAATCTCCCATCATCTTGAGTAGACTGAGGTTTATTTGCCCTGGTTAAGATCTAATGATTCAGCCAGAGCAAGGCACTTTTTGTTGAGTGTTAAAAGCATTTAAAGCCATCTTAAAGCAAACAAGTGGTCCTGGTGATAATTTGTCTGTTTCTTCCCTGCAATGTCACAAGCGGAATCCATATTATTTTTAAACAAGCAGTTAGACTAGTTAGATTAATCCCCAAATTCCCTTAAACAAGGCCCCACTTTTCCACAGAAAACATAAAATCTGAATTCCCTCTAGATAGTTTGGTTTAGCTGAGACAGCATATACTGACTTAATGTGTTTAAAATTTTTTTGGGCTGAAATCCAGATGAATTACACAGTGATCAAAAGATGTCAAATTGGAGTGAAAACACTCAGTACACAAAATTTCCCCACTTTAGGTAAATATAGAAATTCTACTGCCATAATCTCAAAAATGCCAAAAGGTAAACATTTTTTTGTAGGTAAAACGTTAGTATAAAGATTTATCGAGCAAACAACAAATTATTTGTCATTACTGCTGCTTTGTGATCTAACTGTTGTACACATTATAGTTTGGTTAAAGGAACATGTAGTTTCCATTCTGCACATAAAATTAACCCATCGGGTGCTTCACGTTGCCTAACCGTATGGGAATTGTGTTTTTTTCCCTGTAGATACTGTTTTGGAAGCAGTACAATAAGACAAATGATAAATTGTAACTACGCATTTTATAACTCTTAAAAAAAAGTAGCAGTAAGCATACCATCTGCTGTGTTTGACTACCAATTTAATATTAGCTTGGATGGTAGTTGCAATTAAATAACCTGGCAAATTACCAGGGCATTTTTCATAGATTCCAAAATTCAATATTTCTGACAGAACCTCAATATTCATTTTCATTTCTTCACGTGTTTAATTAGACTATTTCGTATTTTCTCCTTCATCAATACTTCAATCCCAGTCATTAATTTTTTATTTCTTTATTCTTGCAGTTAGGCAAGAAGTCATCTTTAAGTCATCCTTGCTATCCTCCTGAGTTTATAATGCACATTTCACAGCCCCGCCAACATCCTTTGGACAATCCAAGAATTTGTTTTAATATTACTGAAGAACTAATTGCACCAGCAGCTCTGACACTATCAAAAAACACAAACAGGTTTCTGAGTTGGTGCATTTTAAGATCAATCACACATATGGTAAAATCAAAATATCTATAATCTAACATAATATAGAAAATATTTCAAAAAATCAAGTTTTCTACACTGCTTTACTCTGCTGCAGGAACTGCATGACAGCAACAACTACAAAAATTACATTTCATGAATCAAAATATAATATAATTAGAAAGATGAATACAGTGTTTAAATCTGAGTACACTGTGGAGCTGTACAATCTTGTTTCAAAACTACAGCAATAATACATTGCTAAGTTCTGCTGGAAAAAAATGAGAAACATGTAAGATAATAAAAAGGTGCATATTTTTTCAGTAAATTGTGTTACAGTTTCTCCCGATGCAGCATTCATGTAAAAAAAACTGGACATGTGACATTTCAATCCTTTTTTTAAAAAAAGCTTTTCATGTGATTCTACACTGAACTGGTTCTCTTTTTCTAGATTTAGCAAAATATAGAAAAAGAAAACAAGTTCAAATGGAGAAATAAGTTACATATGTATAATTTTAAAAAAACAGCATACTGTGTTACAATCAACTACAAAAATGATACCTGACCCTCTTGCAGGTATACCACCCTTTAAACTCATAGCAATCTATCCACCTATGTAACAGACATTCCAACTGCTTGATGCCAGTGGTTATAAATGTCTGTAGAAGTCTCCTTACATTACAACTGCTGGCAGAATCGTACAAGAGGATCACTTTACATTAGAGTTTGGTATGCAACAACTTTTTTCAGTTAGGGGGCTTGAAATGCACTCATCTCCGATCCAATGAATTAATGTATTTCAGTAATCCATGAGATGGGACTATCAATCTATCCTACTTTCTGCTTAGTCTTATTTTTCAGGAAGCTATAAATTTTTACTGCAACCACAGCTTTTATTTCTAGTAGTCTTATCAGTATCAGATTCTTCTTCTCAGTTGCATGGCACTTGCAGATTGTAATTGCTGCAGACTGATCTTATGTGGCAGAGTTTTCCTAAACAGTTCTACTACAACTAAAGTTTATAACACTTGCGCAGTTCACGTTTTGTGGTGAAACAACAGGATCATTTTTCTGTCATCAAAGATGCTATATCAAATGTAAGGTCTGTTATCATTTATTATTATTACTCCCACCACTATTTTGCTTGAATCTTGGCTGCTATCATCCATTGACAGCAGTAACCTACTACACCAAGTCGTCAAACTCACCCTCACTATTGAAACATTGAATATACTAAGATTCACTGTTTACATCTTACATGAGATAATCAGCAGAACATTACAAAGCTGTGACAGTAAAAAAANTTTCAAGCATTCAATATATTATTGCCTTACAACACAATCCAACCCATCTGTGAAAATTGGGGATGTGGATGTATGCACTTTGAACTTTAAATTAAACTTAAGGTCCAGGGATTTATAGTCCTGCTAGTGACAAGATTGGAATGTAATCATCTATCAAATAGACATTTACAACATAACAGGAAAACGTGGGAGTGTGAGGCACAGAGACATTTTGTCTAAACTCATTACATAGACAAAGAAAATCCTACCTAAAGGATTCATTTCCAAAAAGAGAGCCAGAACTCAAGATTATGAAGGTTACAGGGAATTTAAATTTGGATCTTAAACTAATTCAGAAGTACTGATTAATGTAATTTGAAATTGAAATTTATTCTTTATTTTTGTTACCATGTAATTCTTTTGTTCTCCAGAATTTTTTTTAGTGACACATGAAGACGCAACAGAGAAAAACATAAACAAAAGATTTTATAAAGCCCCACCTGAATTACTGTGGCCAATTCTGGTCAGCTAATCATAAGAAACAAGTTCCTTGCAGTATGGCAATGTGTAACTTGAAACCTAGCTTGCCTTTGAACTCTGAAACCCTAGCTGACCTCAGTGTTATCCATAGTATGTATATGTGTAAGTGATCATGAAATATCTTAAAAAGACCCAATCAATTCAAACATTACAGGCAACTAGAGGTCTTGAAACAGAGCAGAAGAGAGCACATCTAGGGCAATCACACTCGTCACATTTATTCTTTGCGGGTGAGATTCACTTACCTACTGACACCATCCCCTCCAGGTGGTATCAGCAATGGGGCTCCAACAAAATTCATGCTGCTGAGCCCACATCACAGGAAAATACAAAATAGTTAAAACAAAAATAAGCAAACTCTGTGCTTTAAATTACACAAGATTTATAAAGCAGTACAGAGTTCAGAGTCTTACATCATTATTAGATGATCTTATCAGGCTAATGATAATCATTTAATAATAATAATCATTTAAACAGTGATGCTAGAACACCAAAATCTGTGACAGGGTAGAAGCCTTAATTAAAAAGGTACATTGGGTGTTTTGCGATTTTAATTACTTTCAAAACAAAGTGTTTAGTTTGGTTCAGTCGGTAGCACTCTCGGAGTCAGAAGATTGTCAGTTCCAGCCCCACATCAGAATTTGAGCTCACAGTCGAGGTTGCAGTGCAGTGCTGGGTAAAGTACTGTATTGTTTAAGGTGCCATTGTGTCTGCCTATTCTGTGGGGATTAAACATCCTATGATCCTGTCCTGGTGACTTACTCAACAATCCTCCTGATAAATTATGTATTCACATCATAGTTGTTTGTCGAACTTTGTCTGCCCTATTTGTCTGCCCCATTTGCTTACAAAAATCAGAACTGAAGCACTTTAAGACAATCTGACATGATAAACACACATAGTACAGTAAGATAGAATGCCTCAACTCAACCTCAGCACTTTACTGACTATTAGCACACACCTTTGCATTTCTGGAGATAAAAAGCTAAAAAGCACTCTCCCACTGTCCATTAACAAACTAGCTCTCAACCAGCAAAGTGTTTTTAATCACCATTGCCTTATACAATCTTCCCAATCCAATGGGGAATGTCGTGGCCAATAAACTGATGTCACTCTGCGTGCTCAAGTTCACAGGTCTTTGTTGCTATAAATTCAGTCAAATTTGCCCTGCAGCTCAAATGAGTAATAGCAACAGAATCAGCAGGACAGGGTGTTGAAACTCATGTCTATTGAAGCAGCTATGGATCATCCTTAAAATGCAAATATGGGATTGTTCTTTCCAGCAGACATTGTCCTAAACTTATTGACAGCTCAGAAGTTAAGAATGCAACAAGCATGAGTTACCACAGAGTGGCACCCCGATGAGGCTACCACCCTAATAAGACTTACTGTTATGCAATGCATCAGTACTATAAATCAGAGCTATCTGAGCTTGTTGCCTAATAAAACCATTAAGTAGGCTTGCTGCCTAATAAAAACATTACTCTAATACAAGCATTATGCAAATAACATCATCCAAACTATCCAAAGGAAGCATAAAATCATGTATCACAAAAGCTCAAAGATTCCAAGTGAGAAACTAATTGAAGTAGACCTTTCAATGGCAGTATTTTTTAA